ATGACACACTACATGTTGATTTGGCAGTTAAATAATTTATCTCTCTTTTGGGTGCAATCTGCTAGGCTTATTATAACTCTCCTTCTGATACTCATTTCATGTTTAATAGTTCTTTGCCTCACGTGGATGCCCGTCAGTCAATTAAATTGAAATGTCATTCTGACCTTTTATTGGAAACAACTTACTATTTTTTTTCATTTCATCTCAAGCTTTTTTTTTCCATTTTATTCAAATTAAAAGCCTTAATTGCTAGTATTCAGAAACTTCATACTCATTAACTTTACAAAACCGCGTGCTCATCGCCATTACCGATGCTTTATATTTCCAGAGGTTATCCAGCTGAGTCTTCCTGAAGATCAGAAACTAAGCATCACGGCGGCAACAGTGGGACAAAGTGCTGTTCTCAGCTGCGCCATCCAGGGAGCACTGAGACCCCCCATCATCTGGAAGAGGAACAACATTGTCCTAAATAACTTAGATCTGGAAGACATCAATGTGAGTACATACATCCATGTTGCTTAGAATTTGTGCATTTCACGTGGTAGACTGTGTGGAGTCTGCCGAGCTTAATGAAATTGGGTGTAGAATGGAAGAGAGTCATTGGATCATTGTCATAGCCTTTCTGCTGTCTGGGAAGTGCCCTTACAGATCATTTGAAATTATCCAAATCACTTGTGTCTGTGTGGTAAACAGGTTAAGTACCACTGTGTGGGTGGGATCCCTGCAACTTAAATGATAAAGGTCTGGCTGTAAGAATTTCTAATTACCAACAATTAATCTCTATGGATTTGCTACTACAGTTGAGTAACAGTCTTTGGCTTGTGAAGTGTTAAAGTGGGTAAAAGCAGATTTTTGCCTCGAATACTTCATATAGCATTTGAAACAATGGATATTAATCAAACAAATAAAGGGTTTATTTTCCCAGAATAAAGGAACATGTTTCATCACTCAGATTTATTCTTAGAGATTCAGAATCTAAACTCGGTTCAGTAGGGTCCAGCCCCAAAGATGAAACAAAAGCAGAACAAATTCCAGGGTATTCATCTGTTCTTTCCACGCTGTCTGTTTAAAGTGAGCATGAAAAAGTGAACGTCATCTTAGATGATGAAAAGAAGTAAAAATTGAATGTTATGGGATGTCTGTGAATATGGGGTGGGGCGATCCTCTGCCTTGGTGATTTGGGAGTTTTATGATGTCTTTACATATAAATTTCAGTCATTCTTTACTATCACCCGAGAAAGCCATCACCTGCTCACTTATTCTTTGCTGCATCTTAAAGAAGCTCCAAAACACAGGCCCAAAGAGTCACTCTTATTTACCACATTTTACTAATATTCCTGTTTATTGTCCTTGAATGCTTTGAAAAAAAAAAAACTTCTCCAGTTTTTTTTTTTTTGATAAAATTTTTCTAAATGTGCTTACATCTGGGAAATTTCCTCAGAGTATACGGGAGAATAATGTCTAATGCTCTAAGATATCAAGAACATTGTGCCTTAGGACAGCTACACTCAGGAGCATTCAAGATTCCTTGAGAGGGATGGACCTAGACGATGTCATAGTAGGCTCGCATCATGCATTGTTGTGTCTACATTTTTGCTTTTTTTTAAAGTTGGGGTAAACTTGGTGTATCATATTATATTTTATTTCAGATGTAAGACGTAAAAAATAATCTATCTTTGTACACACTACAAGGTGATCACCACAGTACATCTAGTTACCACTCCTTACCATACAATTGACCCCTTTTACCCATTTTCACCAAGCCCTTTACCCTTTCCAGTCTGATAACTGCCCATCTGTTCTCTGTATCAATGAGTCTTGTTTTGTTTTGTTTGTTCATTTGTTTTGTTTTTTAATATTCCATATATAAGTGAAATCATATGGTATTTGCCTTTGATTTCACCTAGCATAATGCCCCCTGGTCTGGTATAGAAAATAAATATATTTTCTTCTTTTTATTCGGCTGAGAAATATTCCATTGTATATCTATCACATCTTCTTTATCCAGTCATCCATGGACGCACACATAAGTTGCTTCCATATCTTGGCTTTTGTAAATAATGCTGCATTGAACATAGGAAGGCATTTACCTTTTAGAATAAGCATTTTCATGTTCTTAGGGTAAATATCCAGAAGTGGAATAGCTGGGTCATACGGTAGTTCTATTTTTAATTTTATGAGGAATCTCCATACTGTTGTCCATGGCAGCTGTGCCAACTGCCATTCCCACCAACAGTGCACAAAGGTTCCTTTTTCTCCACGTCCTCTCCAGAACTCATTATTTCTTCTCTTTATGATAACTGTTGACCTGACAGGTGTAAGATGATATCTCACTGTGATTTGATTTGCATTTCCCTGATTATTAGTGATGTTGAACATCTTTTTATGTGCTGGTTGTCCACCTGTATGTCTTCTTAGGGAAAATGTCTGTCTAGATCATCTGCCCATTTTTTAAACTGGATTGTTTGTTATTTTGCTATTGAGGTGTTTGAAGTTTTAATATATGTTGGATATTATGCTCTTACCAGATAGACGGTTTGCAAATATTTTCTCCCATTCATAAGGTTGCCTTTTTATTTTGTAAACTGTATCCCCTTTGCTGCCCAAAAGCTTTTTAGTTTGATGTAGTCTCGCTTGTTTATTTTCACTTTTGTTGCCTTTCCTTTTGGAATAAGACCCAAAAAGTCCACAGCAAGGCTGACGTTGAGGAGCTTATCACCTGTTTTCTTCAAGGAGCTCTCATGCTTTCAGGTCTTGCATACAAGTCTCAAATCCATCTTGAGTATATTTTTATGTAAGGTGTAAGACAGTGGTTCAGTTTCATTCTTTCGCATGTGGCTGTCCAATTTTCCCAACACAATATATTGAGGATACTGTCCTTTCCCCATTGAATATTCTTGGCTTCTTTGTTGTAAATTAATTAACAATTATGTGTGGATTTATTTCATGGCTCTCTATTCTTTTCCATTGATCTAGTTGTCTATTTTTATGCCTCAAACAAATTGTTTTGACTACTATTGCTTTGTGATATAGTTTGAAATCAAGGAATATGGTACCTCCATCTTTGTTCTTTTTTTAAAATTGGTCATTTAAGTTCTTCGTGTTTCCACAGAAATTTTAGAATTATTTGTTCTATTTCCTTGAAAAATGCCATTAATATTTGGATGGAAATTACATTCAGTCTGTAGATGGCTTGGGTAGTATGATCATTTTAACAACATTAATTCTTCCTATCAGTTAACAGAAAGTATCTTTCTATTCATTTGCCCCTTCTTTAATTTCTTTCATCAGTATCTTATAGTTTTCAGTGTACAGGTCTTTCAACTCCTTAGTTAAATCTATTTCTAAGTATTTTATTCTTTTTGATACAATTGTAAATCAGATAGCCTTCATAATTTTTCTTTCTGGTATTTCATTATTGTTATATATAAATATGACAGATATCTGTATATTGATATTGTATCCTGAAAATTTATTGAATTCATTTATTAGATCTAATGTGTTTTTACTGGACTCTTTAGAGTTTTCTGTATGCAGTATCATGTGATCTACAAATAGTGGCAATTTTACTTCTTCTTTTCCAATTTGGATTCCTTTTGTTTCTTTTTCTTATCTAATTGCTATGGTTGGTACTTCCAATAATTTGTTGAATAAAAGAGCCTAGAGTGAGCATCCTTGTCTTATTCCTGATTTTAGAGGAAAGGCTTTCAGCATTCACTGTTGAGTATGATGTTAGCCATGGCCTTGTCATACATGGCCTTTATTATGTAGAGGTATGTTCCCTCTGTACCCACTTTGTTGAGAGTTTTTATCATAAACGGATGTTAAAATTTCTCAGAAGTTTGTGATTTCTTCTTTGATTTCTTTGTTGACTCATTGGCTGCTCACTATTGTGTTGTTTAATCTTATATATTTGTGATTGTTTTTTAGTTTACTTGTAATTGATTTCTGTTTTATGCTATTGTGATCGGAAAATATGCTTGGTATTATTTCAATCTATTTAAATTTATGGAGGCCTGTTTTATGGCCCAAATGTAATCTATCCTGGGGAAGATTCCACGTGCACTTGAGAAGAGTGTATTCTGCTTGCTTTTAGATGGATTGTTCTGTATACATCTATTAAGTTCAACTGCTATAATGTATTGTTTAAGTCCAGTGTTTCCTTATTGATTTTTCTGTCTGGATGGTCTGTTTCTTGATGTAAGTGATGTTTTAAAGTTCCCTACTATTGGTACATTGCTGTCAATTTCTCAGTTTAAATCCATTAATATTTGCTTTATGTAGTTAGGTACTCCTATACTGAGTGATTTTATATTTACAAATGCACTATCTTCCTGTTGGATTGACCCCTTTATCATAATGTAATGTCCTTTTTGTCTTTTATTAGAGTCTTTGTTTTAAAGTCTATTTTGTTATGAGTATGGCTACACAACTTTTTATTTTTATTTGCATTAGATGTCTTTTCTGTTCTTTCACTTTCAGTCTGTGTGTGTCCTTAGTGTCTTTAGATCTGAAGTGTGTCTCTTGTTGGCAGCATATAGATGGGACTTGTTTGTTTGTTTTAGTTTTACTTTATTGAGTCACTCAATATGTTTAGATTATTCAGTCCACTTACATTTAAGGTCATCATTGATAAGTATATACTTACTGCCATTTGCTACTTGTTTTTTGCCTGTTTTTATAGTTCCTCTTTATTTTCATCCCTTGCTCTCTCCTCTTGTGATTTGATGACTTTTTTCACTGTTATGTTTAGATTTCTGTGTCAGTATCTTTTGGGTATGTACTTAAGTATTTGCTTTGGTGTTACCATGAGTGCACATGTAACAGCTTATTTTAAGTTGATAGCAACTTAAGTTTTAACACGTTTTTTAAAATCTACATTTTTAGACTCTCCCCATGTTTTACATTTTTGATGGCATATTTTACATCATTTTATTTTGCATATTTATTAACTAACTATAGTAGTTATAGTTAATTTTGCTACTTTTGTCCTTTAGCCTTTATGTTAGTTAAGGCTAGTTAAGGTTAGTTAAGTGGTTAATCCACTACCTTTATTATACATTTGCCGTTACCAGTGAGATTTTTACCTCTTATATTTTCTTATTACTAGTTAGTGCCTTTTCTTTTCAGCTTAAAGAAGTCCCTTTAATGGTTCTTGTAAGGCTGGTTTGCAGGTGATTAACTCTTTTAACTTTTGCTTATCTGGAAAGCTCTTGATGTCTACTTCAATTCAATTCTGAATGAAACTTTGCTGGGTAGAGTACTCTAGTTAGACTTTTTTGTTTTTGTGTTTTACTTTGTGCACTTTGAATTTATCATTGCCCCTTCTTTCTGGCCTGCAAAGTGTCTGTTGAGAAGCCAGGTGATATACTTATTGGGGCTTTCTTGTACACAGCAGTTTTGTTTTGTTTTTTTTTTCTTTTGTTTTAAAAATTCTCTCTTTATCTTTTACTTTTGACATTTTAATTATATTGTGCTTGCTGTGGATCTTTTTT